TGTACCAGCCTTCCCATGTGCCTGCCTTCAGGACAGGGACTTCTCTATTTAAAAGAAAAGGTTTCCTGGCAGGTCCTCGTTCTTCCATCTCAGGGGCAGGTTTTAAAGGGAGAACTGGAGGGGCCCACAGGTGCTGAGCAGGCAGCGCCCAGCCTGCGGGCAAATTTTGGATGAAGATGAGCCCCGAGATGTGCAATCAGGACTCCTGGGAAGTGGGCACGGGGCCGACCTGGGCCAGGCGGGTGCGTGCACAGCCGTGGCCTGGCTTAGGGGTGCTTTTGGGGTAATACTGGCTCTGCAAGAGCCGCTGGCCCTATTTACACAACCTGTGCCTGATCCCTTAAGCCAGATAAGTGTCACAGCTGCAGAGCGGTGCTAAGGTTCAAGCTCCAGCACAGAAGGTCTCATGTCACTCCCCCTTCCAACTGCTCTTTGCCAAGGGCTGCCCTGGGGAGCCCGGCCGGGCCAGGTGCTTTGCTGCCGCAGGCGGAGGCGTTACTGCTGCTCCGCTCACTGCCGCTTGCCATAGCAATAAGGAAGCGGGGGCCTCGAGGCCAGGAGAGGTGCAGGCAGGTCCTGCTCTGTGCCTGCACTGCCTGGAGGAGCATGGAGGGCCAAGGCACAAAATGGGGACTGGAGGCAGGAGCCGCCTGTGCCTCACAAGGACCAGGCAGGGTAGGGACAGGGCCAGGAGGGGAGAGGGACGTAGCGGCCACCAGCCAGTCCTTCCGTCTTGCACTGGCACCAGCTTCTCGGCCTGGCACAGCTCAGAGGCAGGTCAGGAAAGCAAGGAGCGGGTTTTCCTCCCCATCCTGGTGCCGGCAGAGACTGCGCATAGTGAAGGAGCGGAGTGGGGAAGGAGGCAGCTCCAAACACATGCGGCTGCTGTGATCCCTGCACCAAACACCGTGCAGTTAGAGAGCGGCGCTGTGCTGCATTGCAGACTGAGAGCCCTGCTCGTGCAGAAAGCTGTGTGCTGAGGGCCGGTGCTGGGGGCTCAGATGTGCTGGGTTGAGCCACAGAGACGAGGGGATGGAAATGGAGTGAGTTCGAAAAATGATGAAGGGTGGATGTTATTTATTCACCTCCCAAGAGGGCTGTATTTTCAAGCTTTCTGAACAGCAGGGCCACAGACATCAGGTCTTCACTGAGTGAGGATGGTGAGGGAAAAACACTGGGACCTGTGAGACCTGCTGGCTGGCGTGAGAAAGGCAGGCACTCTGCCCATGTCCTGCTCCTGCCTGGGGAGAGCTGGCCTGTCCCTGCTAAACCTGGACACACAAGTGTCCCCTTGCACACACAGAACACCGGCTGTGTCCTTCTTGGGGCTAGGGGCAGGGGCCAAGCTGGCTGTGCTGCAGAGGCATTGCTGTGGCAGGATCAGTGGCTGGGGAAAAACAGCAGGTCAGATTGTTGATGCTGAAAACAAGGACGGGGCTGGGGGAACAGCCAGGCACTATCTGTGGGAAGGAGGGGGCTGAGGTGAGTCTGGAGGAGGGGATGAAATCAAGGTAGGGGATGTGGCTGAGAAGCTCTAAAATGAGCTTCCTGGGAGGGTCTGTTCAGCTGGGAACGGTTTTGTGATGGTGCTGACACTCGAAAAGAGCCTGGACAGAGCCCCACGGGTGAGCCACAGCATCCTGCTCGGCAGGGGCGAGTCAACCCACCTGGGGATTTTGCTCCACTAGTCTTTAAGTTAAATAATGAGAGATACTGGCAACAGCCTTGAGGGATCTGAGCGGCACTCCATGGCCGCTTGTCAGAGGTGCCGCAGTGCAAATGGCCATGCTGGGGGCGGGGGCCATGGGCACCCCCCCCCCCCCCGGGGGGGGGGGGCGGATGTGCCCGCTGTCAGGCAGGGTCCCATACAAGGCACGGTGCCACGTTTGGACAGTCACGCTGGGGCTCCCCGCCAAAGCGTCTCCACACAAAGCCTGAGCCCCCTCCTCCCTGCGTAAACAAGCTGCATGCTCCGCTGCCTGCCCCCCCCCCCAGGAGACGTGGGCACGGATGTGCCCGCTGTCAGGCAGGGTCCCATACAAGGCACGGTGCCACGTTTGGACAGTCACGCTGGGGCTCCCCGCCAAAGCGTCTCCACACAAAGCCTGAGCCCCCTCCTCCCTGCGTAAACAAGCTGCATGCTCCGCTGCCTGCAGCAACCTGCCAGCACCTGGCTCCTCCCGCCCGCCACCACCGCACAGGGTCCGCGCTGCTTGCCCCATATGCCCCCACGCCTCCCCAGAGGCCGCAGAGCACCCACAGAGCCAGTAACACCAGGAAGGGCGCTGGAGGCTGCTGGATTAGCGGTGAAGAGCTGCGGGGAGATGCAGGGGGCTGCTGCTCCTGGAGAGGCTGCCCAGTCAGTAGACAGACTAATAATACCTGCTGAGCGCTTAGCAGGTTGTCATGGTTTAACCCCAACCCGTTCACTCCTCCTGGGTGAAGCACCTCCTTGCACAAGGGTGGAGAGGGCAGTTGCTGCAGGCAGCTGCACCCCGAGGTCGCAGGCAGGACGGCAGCGCTGAGCTGCCTCACGGGACAGCGTGGGTGGTAGCAAAGTGTCTGCGCCAAGTCGTTGCTCCTGGCAGACGTCCACCTTCTGCTGAAGACACTTCCAGCCTGTGCGGCCAGGGAGCCAGGGGGGAGCCGGAGTGGGGAGCCCACCCTATCACTCGGCCGCGTGGCACTGCGAACAAAAGATGGTGCTGAAAGGGTCATAATTTAAAAAACAGCTTTGGGGACCAAAACCAAGGCAGCCCCAGTAAGGCCAATTGCAGTGTCGCCTTCATGCTTGTGGCAGAGGACACCTGGACACCCAGGAAAGTGTGGTGGGAACGCTGTGCCTGCTCCCTGAGCCCTCCTGCACCAGCCCCGGGATGCAGCCCAGGCTGCAGGAACAGGCAGTCTCCCTTGCAGGTCTGCAGGTCACTGCTTATGAGCACAGCAGTGAGCGTTCAGCACCTTCATCCCTGCATTGCCCTGCTGATCCTGGCACCATCCAGCTTAGTTCGGGTCCTCTAGAAAGGATGAAGAGAGATTCCCCAGATTTGCTGGCTGTGATTCAGGGCTGTTCTGGGGGAGGGTGCGTTTGGGCCAGGAGCTAAATCAGCACTGCAGCAGGCACAGACCCTGCAGGCAGGGGCCAGAGTCTCAGGGTTTTGGACTCTCTCAACACTTCAGTGAAGGTATGGACTGCCCGTAGCAGACAGCATGCTTAAACCTACAGCAGTCTCCTGCTTACTGGAAGTAAGCTTGCTTCCCTTAGCAACCTTTGCTGGCTCTCCAGAAGTAGTCCGCTGACACCAGGGTGGAAAGCACAGCAGGCAGGCTGTGGTCCTGGCATGCCAGGCGGCTCTAGCAGTGCTGGGGGCGGGGGGGGAACTTGTCCAAGTGTTTCATTGTGATCAGCAAATGCTTTTTACCAGAGTGTCTCTCCCTGGGAAGACATGGGTCAGTAGCCAGCTGATGGCAGGGGCAGGAGCAGTGCGGGAGGCTGGGGGTAGGCTGCATCCCATATACGACGAGTCAGCCTCTGAACTGGAGCATCTCAACATGGCACAGATATGTGTGTGGGCTGGGGGAGCAGCCCTCAGCCTGCACTGCCTGGGACAAGTTCCTGCCTGGAGCAAACACCTCCTTGCACTGGTCCAGGCTGGAGCCAAGTGCTTCCCTATGCAGAGCAGACAATGTAAGCCCTACCTCCCTTTCTTTCTGCAAAGCGCAGGAAGCCACAAGCAGTAGCCAAGCCGTAGGCGAAGGGCCAACACACATTCCTTGGCCTGCAGACACAGGGGAGGAGGCGGCAGCAGCGACAGCACTCTGCATTGCAGCATGGGGGGCTGCCAGCGCCCTGTGCAGACGCTCAGCCCAGGAGGAGGACCTGAGCGCCAGGAGGGTGCCAGGACTCGCTGCTGGTGATGGTGGCCAGCTGTTGCTCCCACCGACCCAGACCTGCACTAGCCCCAGCTCCTCTTCTTCCACGTGGACACCCCCCCCCAAGGCAGCACCCCTTCTGGGAGAGGAGACAGTCATCCCTAGGGCTGCGGGACCCCCTCCAGCCACCAGCCAGGTCGCCTGGGCTGACAAGGGCCAGTCCTGTCACACTGAGGCAAACGGAGGCACCACCTCCCAGCAGGACAGACCTGGCCAAGGAGAGCGCTGTAGGGGTCCTGCCCTGCCAGTCCCACTGTGAGCACAGAACAAGCACAAAGTCTGGCTAAAGTGGGAATGAGGTCAGGGGGCAGCCTCCCGCTAAGCTGATTAGAGGAAAGCATCCCCCTAATACAATGAACTGTGCCAGAGCAGTGCGGTTCCCACCAGCTGCAGATCGGGGTCAACCAATCTCCTGCCCCGTGGCATCTAGGGGGTGGAGGGATGGGGGGTCATGGCACCTGGCTGGGGCCCAGGGGCCAGACACACCAGGGCTCCCGCGGGCTGTGTGCCCTGCCTCCCCTGCTCGCTGCACAGGCAGACCCCGGTGCTGGGCAGAAGCAGGGGGGCAGCAGGAGCAGCCACCCTCCATTTGGGCCGGCGTTGGGGAAGCCCCAGGGAGGAGAAGGGGAGCGAGACCCCCTTTCCGTGGCCTGGCCACCCTGGCAGCTCAGCGCACAGGCTCCTGCCAGCTGCCCGTGCCCCAGTGTGGGGCTGCGGCTGACGTGGCTGCTGCCACTAGCCTGGCAAGCTCTCCCAACCCCAGGGCCCTGGTACATGGCTGATAAGGAGCCGCACCCTAACAGCCAGTCCAGATTTGCTCACGGACTCTTGTCCTTGTGGCAATGTCAGCCCTCAGCTCAGGCTGCTCTCTGCCCTCACTGTGCGATGCCAGTGACTGCCTTCCCGCTCCCGGCTGGCCTTTGCTGGCATGGACAAGCAGAGCAGCTTGACCTCCCTCCCTGGAGCTCCCCTGCCCACACCTGCCCTGAGGGTGTCTGTGGGGCAAGGGCACGAGCGCTGGGGTCCCCTGGCCCCAAAGGACTCATCGGTCTCTCCTCCTGCAGCGCTGAGTACCCTGACCTGCGGAAGCACAACAACTGCATGGCCAGCAACCTGACGCCAGCCATCTATGCCAGGCTCTGTGACAAAGCAACCCCAAATGGCTGGACCTTGGACCAGTGCATCCAGACGGGTGTCGACAACCCCGGCCACCCTTTCATCAAGACTGTGGGCATGGTAGCTGGCGATGAAGAAACCTACGAGGTGAGTGGCGGCCAGAGCCCTACCATGCTCCAGGCTCTCCAGGGTGCCTGCAGTAGCCAGAGGAGTCCCAGTATCTGCAGTATATCCAGCAGCCTGGGATGTTACTGCCCACCTCCTCCTGCCCAACCCGGGCAGCTGGAGAGGCCCCTTGGCCAGCCCCAGCGTGTCCCTGTGGGACACAGGGCTCCTTCAGGTCAGCGGTTCCTAGAGCCCTGCAACCTCCTCCTCCTTGCCCCTGAGCCCCATTTGCCCAGGCAGTGTCGGCCCCATGGATTGCCATTGCATTGCAGGACACACCGTGGCCCCCAGACACCCTCTGCGGCCCCCCTGCTGCCACATCCCCACGCTGGCAGCAGGACTGTACCAAGCTTGTGGCAGGGGCTTCGTGGGGTGCTGGGTCTGCAGTGCTGCACATCATTCCACTTGCTTCCAGGTGTTTGCTGACCTGTTTGACCCCGTGATTCAGGAGCGGCACAATGGATACAACCCCCGCACCATGAAGCACGTCACAGACCTGGATGCCACCAAGGTACGTGAGCCGGGCAGTGGTGCTGCGTGTGGGGACCTTTTCCTGGGCCTCAGGGGACAGGGCCCCTGCCAGCACCAGCACTGTTGCCACCACATGGACATGGCTCATGTCTGTTGCAGGTAAAGTTTGGCCACTTCGATGAGCGCTATGTGCTCTCATCCCGGGTCCGGACTGGACGCAGCATCCGCGGGCTGAGCCTGCCGCCAGCCTGCACCCGTGCTGAGCGGCGAGAGGTGGAGAAGGTGGCCGTGGAGGCGCTGAATGGCCTCACTGGAGACCTGGCAGGCCGGTACTACCGCCTCAGCGAGATGACGGAAAAGGAGCAACAGCAGCTCATTGATGTGAGTTGGTGCAGCTCTTGGCCAGCCACCCCAGGTGCCCGCGGAGTAGGACCCCTTCCCCAGCATTGCCTCTCCGGAAGGCCGTATCCTCCTTTCCCAGCCCCACTGCCCTGTGGGACCAGGACCCCCTTCCCCAGCAAGGCCACTTGTGCAGTGCAGAGGGTGCTCATGGAGCTGCTTAGCCCTCCCAAGGCAGGGGAGGACGGAGCTTGCTGAACACAGCCTCAGCAGCTCACGGCCCCCTCCGGCTCTCACCCCATGTCCCTGCCCATGCCCAGGGGAAGGCAGGCTCGTGGCACACGGCCGGTGCCCCGCCAGCCCCTGGTACAGGGTGGGCTTGTGCACCAGCAGCCTTCTGCCTCCCTGGCCAGGAAGGCAGGGACTCCTGCCCACAGGTGGGGACAGCAGGTGAGCTTGTCCTGCCTGAGACAGCCGCGGTGCATCACCTGCATCACCTGCATGGCAGGCTGGGACTGGTGAGACAGGGTGCCCTGGCACCAGCCATGCAGCCCTGGTGAGCCCTCGCACTCTGCTTCCCGCCAGGATCACTTCCTCTTTGACAAGCCGGTGTCCCCGCTCCTGACGGCAGCAGGAATGGCCCGGGACTGGCCCGACGCCCGAGGGATCTGGTGAGGATCTGCCCCGGCATCGGGCAGTCAGCAGGGCAGAAAGGCGGGGGACACTGCTGCTCTGCCCAGCTGCCCCAGCCCCGCCACCAGTATTCCCCATGCTCGCCAAACCGCAGACCCCAGCACATGCAGTACCAGCACCCCTGGGCCGCACTCACCCCAGGCTCTGTGGCCATGCAGAGCTGGGCTCTCCCTGCTCACGCCTGACCTGGGAGCCCCTCATGTGCTGCAGTCAGCAGCCAGCCGTTCCATACACAAGCCACAGTGTCCTCCTAAAAAGTGGGACTTTGGAGCCAGCCCCTGCTGTCCGTCCTGCCCGCTCTCACCATCCTGCAGTACCTTGCACTCTAGGCTGCCAACAACTGTAATTGCCTCCTGCTCCCCAGGCAATCCCCAGCGCTCCTCCTGGCTCTCTGCATGCTCTACCTGCCCCCAAACTTATCTTGCCACAATTGCATCTTACTGCTCCCTCCCAGCATCTCTGCACAGCCATGCAACATCCCACACAACATCCCACGCACCCGCGGAGTGACAGCCAGCACACGCACTCGCCCACACCACCCTCGCTTGCACAGCACCTTTATAGCAGTTTCATGGAAGACACCTCTACAGCACGCATGGTCCCCAGCTCCAGCCACCCCCTAACCCAGCACCCCAATGTGCACCCCACACCTCACAGCCGCCTCCCGCTGCCTGTGTGGTGCAGGAGCCGTGGTCCTGTCCCCAGTCCAGGCAAGGTTGCCACCACACTGGCACCGCGCTGCTCCTCCCCAGCAGCACTTGCCTGTGCCCATGGCACCAGAGCCAGGACCTGTCACCCGCAGCGGTACGTGTGGATGAACACTGGCCCATGTCCAGGAGCACCTCCTGGCTGTCTGCCTTGCTGCCGGGCTGTGCTCTCCAACGCGCTCCCAGCCATGGGCACAGACAGAGCACCGGGACTGTGGGGCAGCACTGGCACCATGGTCACAGGGGCAGAAGGGGCACGGCCGGGGCTGGCACAGGTGGCTGGGTGGGCACAGGGGCTCTGCCGGGCACCAGCGCAGCTGAACACTGACCTGTCCCTAGGCACAACAACGAGAAGACCTTCCTGATCTGGATCAACGAGGAGGACCACACGCGCGTCATCTCCATGGAGAAGGGTGGCAACATGAAGCGCGTCTTCGAGCGGTTCTGTCGGGGCCTGAAGGAGGTGAGCACCGGCCAGCCCCGCTACGCCAGTCCCATGGACAGGCAGATAGGTGGACAGGCAGACAGGGGCAAGCAGGGCCGCTGCGGGGCTGGCCCCCTGCGCTCGGCCGGGGCTGGGCGGTGCTGCCATGCCAAGGCCTGGGCACTCCACAGCCAGGGTCTGAATGGGTGCTTGTGCCTCTAACCCAGGTGGAGCGGCTAATCCAGGAGCGAGGCTGGGAGTTCATGTGGAATGAGCGGCTGGGTTACATCCTGACCTGTCCCTCCAACCTGGGCACTGGGCTGCGAGCAGGTGTCCACATCAAGCTGCCGCTGCTCAGCAAGGTATTACCGTGGCCACTTTTTGTGGGGAGCCAGGCCAGGGCTGCGCGGAGCCCCAGCTGCTGGGGCACAGGGAGCCCAGCCACGCAAGAGGTGCAGGACTGCATGGGACCCAGCCCTGGACCTCACTCAGGTTCCCCCAGGAAGTGGAGCATATGGTCTAGCCCACGCCTGCATCTGTGGCTGGAGGGGCCGGGGACCCGGGTGTCAACCTGGGTCTGCTCAGGGCAGGGCTCCCTGCAGGGATTACAAGCCCACTGATGGGGTCCTGTAAGTGGTGGGAGGGCTGCCCCAGGGAGCAGTCAGCAGCAGAGCCCCGACTCCCTTGCTGATGGTACCACTGAGCACTGATGTCTTCTCTGGGCACCAGGATAGTCGCTTCCCTAAGATCCTGGAGAACCTCCGGCTACAGAAGCGTGGAACAGGCGGTGTGGACACCGCAGCTACTGGCAGCATCTTCGACATCTCCAACCTGGACCGGCTGGGGAAGTCAGAGGTGGGTGCCGGGAAGAGCTGCTTTTGGGGAGGGAGGTTCTGGAGCATGCGTGCATGACAGGCCCACGGCACCCAAACAGCTCCAGGGCCGTGTGCTGGGGCCAGTACGTGGAGACTGGGGGTGGCAGCACCTGCCCTTCACGCAGTGGGGCTGGCCAGGTGCCTTGCTGGTGTGGCTCCCAGGACAGCCCCTGAGGCAGGATGTGTGTGCTCCTGGTGCAGGTGGAGCTGGTGCAGCTGGTGATAGACGGTGTGAATTACCTGATTGACTGTGAGCGGCGGCTGGAGAAGGGGCAGGACATCCGCATCCCCTCCCCGGTGCCGCAGTTCCGGCACTGAGCTGGACCAAGGCAGTGCCAGCCCTGTGGGACCCAGCTCCCCCCGTAGCTTATGCGATCTCTGTGCCCAGCATGTCGCTGCATCCTGTTACCCGCAACGCGCCAGGCCAGACCCCATAAACGTGCGCTGCTGTAGCCATGGCTCGGTCTCCTCCTTACCCCAGCACCCGCCACCCCGCCAATCTCCCTAGCGATCTCCCTGCCTCTCTGCCCTGCAGAAAGGCACCCGTGTGCATCTTGCCGGCCTTCCCCCCGGCCCCCCCCGCGCCGCCAATCTCCCTAGCGATCTCCCTGCCTCTCTGCCCTGCAGAAAGGCACCCACCCAGGTCTGGGTTTCCTGCACTTGCCCTGAGCAGCCCTCCCTGGGATTTCCCTGAGCCACTGCTGCCCTGGGGAACGGGCCAGGGGGGGCCACTGAGGCTGCTCTGGTCTGGGGGGCTACAAGGGACTGCATGTGGGTAGGGAGCCGGGGCTGGGGGGCAGCTTGCTGCAGGCCTCTCTGCCCTGCAGAAAGGCACCCACCCAGGTCTGGGTTTCCTGCACTTGCCCTGAGCAGCCCTCCCTGGGATTTCCCTGAGCCACTGCTGCCCTGGGGAACGGGCCAGGGGGGGCCACTGAGGCTGCTCTGGTCTGGGGGGCTACAAGGGACTGCATGTGGGTAGGGAGCCGGGGCTGGGGGGCAGCTTGCTGCAGGGTGCCAGGAGCTGCAGGGACAGACAGGGCCAGGCAGGGAAAGGTGCTCTGGGGTCACGTGTCACTGCAGGCAGGCAGGCAGGGAGAAGAGCTCATTGCTTGTGCCCATCACAAGTTTATTACTGGGATACTCACAGAAAGCAGCAGGGCAGGCAGAGCAGGAGAGCCAAGGTGAAGTCAGACTGGGGCCTGGCTCCGCTCCTGCCTGCAGGAGAGGAAGCACCATCAGAGCTGAGTGTGCCAGCCCTGGCACACTGTGGAGGGGCTCACATCCCGGCTGCTGCCGGGAGCCCTCACAGTGTTCACATGCATGTACACATGCATGCATGCACATGTGCACACATGCACATGCACGCATAGTTCTGGGCAGGGACAGCATAGTCTGCTGCTGCCCCCAGAGCAGCTGTTCAGGACCTGGGTTTGGGACAGGGAGCGGCAGCAGGGAGGTCTCGTTTGGGCAGAGGTGGGATGGGACATGGCCCGACAGGGAGCCTGAGCTGGGCAGGCAGTGGAGCCAGCCTCCCTGTGGGGCAGCACTGCGAGCACCAGGGTCCGAACCTGCACAACCTGAGCCCTCCTGGCATCCTGGGGTGCCCGTGCTGAGCCCGGAGGTGCAGAGCAGGAATGAGGGGCAAGCGGGCAGGGGAGCTGCCCACGGCAGGCAGGCTGGGCGCTGCATAGGGACAGAAGCCACCCTGCTGCTCTCACCTTGGCCATCCTGGGCAGCCTCTCCCTCGCACTGGGCGCTGGCGAGGGCCTGGTGCTGGGCGCTGCTGAGCCACCGGCGCTGCCCCAGGGTGACAGCTGCGGCCTGGGCACTGGAGAGGGTGCGCAGCTGAGCTGGGCCAAACACCACCTGTGGGGAGAGGGCAGCCAGCAATGGCGAGGCCCTGCGCCTGCTCCCCAGCACAGCCAAGACACGTCCCACCTCTGTCCCTCAGCGTTTGGCGCAGGGGTGCTCCCACTACGCTGGCTCAGCCAGGGATCCCCCCCTCCCCTGTGTGCAGGGAGACAGTGCCACACGCGCCCTGGCCGAGCGTGCCGGTGGGGGATGCCAGGAACTCACTGCGAACTTGCGTGCTGGGACAGCAGCAATGGCCCGGGGCGTGAGCGCCCAGATCTGCTCCGGGACCAGTGCAGAGAGGACGATGTCAGGGAGCCCGGCTGGGGCACAGAGTGCAGGGTCAGGATGCCATCCCTGGGCACAGGGGTCAGCAGAGCAGGGAGCAGTGACCGTGGGGCATGGCGCCATCTCAGCCCTCACCTGCCAGTGTCCCAACCTCTGTGAAGATTTCGGGTCCCCAGGCGGCAGCCGGGCCAAAGGCAGCGCTGGAGGTCAGGCAGGCGGCCAGCACTTCTGCCTGCTGCTCCGTGCAGCGCAGGCTCAGCGAGCCCAGGAAAGGGGCAGCTTTGCTGCAGGGAGCAGGCAGTGTCAGGCAGCCACGCACTGGGGCGCAGCACCCCTGCCCCACGCCCAGCCCATGGTCCCTGTGGGTGCACACCACCTGAGCTCCCAGCTGTCCAGGCCCCGCAGCTCGGCCACCGGCAGCCCGCAGATCAGGTGCCCCAGCGCCACCAGCTCAGGCAGCCCCAGGTCCCGGGCGCTCGCCCCACGCTGCCGCAGGAACGCGGAGACCACAGCCCGCATCTGGGGGAAAGCCCGTCATGGGGGCCAGCCACCCCTCATCACCCCCGGCCCCCAGGGCCTCACCTGCTCAGGCAACCAGCCGTCCAGCTCCCCCAGGGCGGAGAGGGCCCCCCAGTCAGGGAGCAGCAGCTCCCGCAGCTCCAGCTCGCCCAGCTGGGTGGCCAGCCGGCCGAGGCGGGGGGTCTGGGCTGGCTCCAGCGCCCGGGTGCTGCCCCACAGCTGCAGCACCAGCACCACCAAGAGCTGCTGGCAGCCCCCAGCCCAGCACCGCCGGGCAGCTCCAGCACAGCCCCCCACAAGCAGCCCCCCAAGGCCAGCACAGCTGCCCACAGACAGACCCCAAGGCCAGCACAGCGCCCCAAGGACAACCCTCCCAAGGCCAGCACAGCCATCCCACAGGCAGCCCCCCAAGGCCAGCACCCCCGCCAGCACAGCCCACCCAGCCCAGCAGAGCCCCACCACACCCACCAGCACAGCCCCCCGTGTTCCCCCTCACCCGCCGGGCCTGGCCCAGGGCAGCCCGGAGCTGGTCGGGGCGCAGCACTGGGTCCCGGCTGAGCAGCCCCAGGCAGCCCTCCAACTGCTGGGGGGCCATGGCGGCCAGCTGGGCCGCGCTCCACGCCGCGGGGAAGGTGGCACGCATGTCAGCACAGCTGGGCACGGGGGCTGCAGAGCCAGCCTGAGTGAGCTGGCTCCAGCCCCAGGTCCCCTGCAGCGCTAGCTGCGGGGTTCACGAGGACACACCAGCTGGGGAGGAGACAGCATGGGGACACCGGGCACCAGGGACACAGGGCCAGCCCAGGGAGGGGACAGCACGGGGGACACTGGGCAGCAGGGGCACAAAGTGTGTGGGCAGGGCATGGGAGGGCACCAAGGACAGGCAGTGCATTAGCTGCGACAGGGGCATGCAGGGCTCGGGAGGGGAGTGCATAGTCTCACCTCGGTCCCCTGGCCTGGCAGCTGCCACCAGCGGGGCCACCAGCACTTCTTGTGGGCTGGGGCCCTCACCCAGGGTGCCAGGGGGGTGGCAGAGGCGTCCCAGCTCACTCTGCTCCCAGTCCCGCTGGCTCTGCAGCAGCTGCTCCACCGTGTCTCTGCTCAGCAAGTCCTAGGGCAGCACCAGGCGGACGTGCAGAAAGGGGCCATGACAGACCCCACTGGCAGAAAGGCCCATGGGAGCAGCAAGGACAGCACGGCCGCAAGGGTGGGAGTGCTGATGGGGTGGCACAGCCACAAGGACAAGGCACCAGCAGGGACAGCACAGCCACGAAGACGGGACACCACTGGGGATGGCATGGCCACGAGGATGGAGCACCACTGGGGATGGCACAGCCATGGGGATGGGGCATGGGGAGGGTCAGCACAGCTGCAGGACCAGGTGGAGGGGCCGGGGCATGGCCAGCTGCGGGGCAGCGCGGTGGCGGTGGGACAGGATGTGGTGCTCACCCGGGGGACGGCACGCAGGCTCTCGAGGGGCAGCAGGAAGACCAGGCGCCCCAGCTGCTGCAGGGTGGGCAGGCGCCAGCCTGGGGGGGGCCTGTGGGAGCACGTGTCAATGTGGCGTTGGTGGGGCCCCGTGCCCCCCTGCCCGCCACCTACCCCAGCGCCTGCTCCAACAGCAGCAGCCGACCCAGCTCGGCGGCCGC